TTAAGCTTTAGACTTAATATATTTTAACTTCTCTTTGTAAAATATATAATTTTAAACGGTATTATGTAGTATTAATTTCCTTAAAAAACTGCGAGTTTTTGGTTCGATTACTGTTGGCCTCGTACTCGTATTTTACAGTTTTCGTTTGATTCATGCAGGAAACTCACTTGGATATTTACGTTTGATATTTGTGAACTTGTTATCAGTTTTCATTCCTTCTTTCCCTCCAAAGTATGATAAGGACAGACTGTTGTAAAGTTTACAAATAGCAAATACGAATAGTCAAGTGAAGTGCCGGCATCACAGGGGTATTTTGTGATATAGAATTGTCATTGTGCAGTTTTGTATCGTGAACTGCTACGCAAGTGTAAATTTTGTGGCTTCTCTAAAACAGTCGGTCGTTACTTGGGAAGTTAGAACTTTATTAAAGTGATTTTATTAATTCAGCTTCATCTTAATTTGAAACAACACCTTCATTGTAATGCAGCTTGACGACCTCCGTCCGTAATGGTTTGTACGCCGGGTTTCATGGTGTAGCCGATGGGGCAGATGTTTGTGTGATGGATACGAACATTTGTACTCCAGTCATGGATTTTAATATGTATTATATAAATACACTTATATACGTACAGTATATGTATTCTATCCGTTGCCTTAGTATCCCATATCACAAGCCTTATAGAGCTAACTGTGGGGCTAGGCTAATTGGTGTGAGTGTTGGAAATATTTATTTATTAGAACATAACATAAATATTGTTAAACATTATGAAATCTGAACCGTATCAATACAAGTGTCTTTCAAATGTTTAATACTTGTAAAAGTATTCATTTGACATTGTGCGTTACCTGTAATGCGAAGAGATGGCGCTTGCGGCCTTGCAGCTTAAAATGGTTAGAAGAATTTCGACGCGTTCCATGAGGGCCGCGGTAGCATAATTGGTCAGTGCATTCGCCCGGATTGCGAAGGGTGCGGGTTCGAGTCCCGTCTGCTGCCTGGTCCGCGTGGAATTTTTTCTAGTTATATTTTCTTAAGATTTAAACATCAAGCAGTTAAATGCATTAAAAAAAATATATAACAAGTGTCTTTTCTTTGTTGCCCCGGTGTCGTAAACTAAAGGACATTGGGCAAAAATGTATGGACGCTGCACCCACGTCCGCCACGGCTTAAACTACATTTGTTAGAAAGGTATTATAGTCATGATCATCTGTGCCAAAGTGCATCAAATTCCATCCCGGGGGTCTTTAGTTATTTTAAGTTAAATATGTAGAAGTACTATAACGAATGAACATTAATGAAACAAGGGAATTAATTTAGTTAGTTAGTTCGACCCTACATAGACTGCTCACGAATTATGGGAGTACTTCATAAGGTGCAAGGGTGCCCCCTTATGTTATTCTGCCGCGCTAGAGTAAATTCAAAAATCCAAATAGTAAATTGCCTTCTATGTAAAACGGAGCGACCACAGATTACACAAACTTGTCCACGCTTCGGAGAATACATAATTCTAGTTTATCTATACTAATTGACAAAACCGATAATCGTGTTCCAATATCCACAGCGTGTTTAGATAAAAATCAATCAAGTAGCAGGGAGCGCACAATCACAACAAAGTAAGACGAGTCGACTATTTGCAACTGTAAGTCCTTCAGCATTCGTAAACCGTTTTGAAATGTCTCAGTAAGAGCAAGCGCAGGGTGGTCGGCAGGCTTTGTCGTATATCTGGTGGTATCGTACGATATGGCATATTATTATGATTACTAATAATATAAAATGAAGGTAGTATAAAATGAATTTATTCAGCTACTTAAATATGCCCATATGTGATATCTATTCACTACCAGGATATTTTTTACGGTGTCATATCTTTTGACTCCCAGGATATTTATTTTCGGTGTCATAATAGAAAAGGCTAGTTTTTCATAGATCTATCGATTCACACTAATAACATTGTTGGCGGAGCTGAGTGCGTTTTGCTCATTGTCCTTTAAAAATCTATTCAGAAAAATTACGTACTGTACAGATAATTAAACTTCATTAAAATCAGTAAAACACATAAACTAAACTCTTTGAAATTGCAGATATAAATACAGGCAAAGTACTCAGCTTTGAGCGAAATTATTACTTGGGATTGTTAAACGGTACTAATGTCAATCTGCCTCAGATAGTGCTCAACGAGGGATTCTTGTCGGACGTTCGATTCTCATTAGTAGGCGGTGAATGATTTACCCAAACGTCGACTGTTTACTCCGATGTGATGTGACAAATAGAAGCTAAAATTTTATTAATGCTTTCCAGAGCTCGCACCCTTCTTCATACTGCAAGACAACCTCGCTACCCTCACAATATCCCTGGCGAATGCCATCCCTGAAGATCCGATACCTGCCAACGGCATTATAATAATTCAGGTAGAAGCGACAGCACCGCAAGTCCTATCAGCGTACACCTCTATTATCTTGGTGTGAGCGTTGAAAAAATTTATTATTATGATTCCTTATAGAGTATGATAAGGACATACTGTTTACAAATAGCAAATACGAATAGTCAAGTGAAGTACCGGCATCACAGGGGGTATTTTGTGATATAGAATTCTCGTTGTGTAGTTTTATATCGTGAATTGCTAAGCAACTGAAAAAAATGTGGCTTGTCTAAAACAGTCGGTCGTTACTTGGGAAGTTAGAACTTTATAAAAGGGCCGCGGTAGCATAATGGTCAGTGCATTCGCCCGGATAGCGAAGGATGCGGGTTCGAGTCCTGTCTGCTGCCTGGTCCGCGTGTTTTTTTTTCTAGTAATATTTTCTTTAGATTTAAATATCTAGCAGTTGAATGCTTAAACAATAAATAAAATATTTATTAAAGTGGTTTTATTAATTCAGCTTCATCTTAATTTGTAGTGTAAAACAAGACAAAACAAAAAAAGTGCATGTCAGACTTGCACACGAGCAAACGCAAGGCATAAGACAGCGGAGGGATTTGTTGTTACTCTTTAAATTATTGCGATTCTGAGTAGTTGTGTTACCATCCATACATTATTTTAACACGCGTGTCCCATCAAGCTTCTGTCTCTGCAGTAGTTTTGTATTACTTAAACTATGCTAATAATTTCCTTATAGTACCCACCCGGGTGAGCTTGGGTAAACATAGTTGTACTAGGGTAAGTGGCTCACTAGTTTGAGCACGTGATTTCGTCTATATCAAATTAATGGGTTTCCAAACAATTTTTTCCCATTTCATTCATGATTTTCTTAAAAATATATTATTCTAGCTTTACCCAATTTAGCATCGATATTTTTGGGTACGTCTAGAGATACAAAAAACGTTTTTTTCTTATGAGGAAAAAACTTCCAAAGAAAAACATGAAAATATCGTCTTTTTGTCTGGAGCATGTATATTTACACGAATACAGAACTCAAAATTATTAAAGAAGTTTCCGTTAAAGATGTTTAATGATCTTCGACGACCTCCGTGGTCGAGTGGTTTATACGCCAGGTTTCATGGTGTCGCCGGCTCGAGGGGTCCTGGGTTCGAATCCCGGCGGGGGCAGATGTTTGTGTGATGAATACGAGCATTTATACTCCAGTCATGGATGTTTAACATGTATTTCTATAAAATATACTTATATATGTACAGTATATGTATTCTATCCGTTACCCTAGCATCCCATAACACAAAATCACAGTGCTTACTTTGGGGCTAGGCTAATTGGTGTTAGTGTTGGACATATTTATTTATTATTATTATTATTAATGGGTTAAAATTAAAGTTTTATGAATATTTTAAAACGTATCACACTTTTTTGATTTCCAAGCTTTCAACAATTTCACCACGTACGGGTGGGTTACAATAGGTAAAATCGTCGAATTCCCCGTTCAGTTTATGTTTCTTTGCAGTACGAACTTAGTTAAGAGAGCGCATTTGAAGAATGTTTGTTTTTTAAAGCTATACATTATGCGTAACACACGTTAATATTTTATTTTTCAAAAATAAATCGTTTATGGATAAAAAACTTCAAACTTAAAACATCAACTAATCAAACATCCGCTAAATCGCGCTATAGATATTGTTTTGTGATATTTAAGGTGAGTTTATAAAATATGTATATCAAAATTAATTAGGAACCAGGGTATTATGATAACACCATTCCCTTGTTATCCCCAGTACTTACTATTTAGAAAACGGTACGTACAGGGTTTTAAAGCAAAAAAGTACTTTTGAAATTCAGATAACAATATATCAGAAAATTATGTTGCAGATAACAAAAAAGTTCGGTTACAAATAACAGTATAGTGAACCTATGTATGCTGAAGCAATCATTTTGTAATCAATTACTGAACAAGAGTAAGAAATAACAAAACAGTTTTGAAATTTTACATAACGTTTTTGTTATCAAAACAAATATGTTTTAGGAAAACCGAGTAGTTTTTCGTCACTATTTTTATGTTATAGGTAACAAAAAAAATTATTTAAGTAACTCAAAACTGTTTTTAGTGTACAGACGACATACACGCGTCGACATACAACACGGCAAACTTATAACACTCCTTTTTTGCGTCAGGGGCCTTTATTTATTATTATTGTTATATATTTTATAGAAATCACTACTCTTGCATGTTTCCCCTAAGATAATTAACTAGACAGTGTAAATGTTAATAAATAATATATCAACGCTTCTACTGAATGTTAAAATCTGAATACGAATATGAAGGTTACACAAAGAATCCAATTTATAATATCCTCGTGTACCAAATCTGTTCAGTCGTTTCGGGATGATCGATTAACAAACATAGAAATAAAACAAACATTCACCGCGTTATACAACATGGCCATAGGAAAAAATATTTTTTCAAAAATCCTGTAAAAATCGTAACAGATTCCTTTTTATCAATTATAAATTTATTAGACTGGCATAGACTAGTTAGCAAAGCATGAAATTTTTTACTATGAAGTTATAACCGTATTGTCCGACACAACATTTTCACGCGACGCAGTCAAGGGTGGTGTTGTGTAGCCTTTGCACTCTCTAGTCTACAGTGGAGCCATTCTGCTCGCGTCGAGCGACAAGTCGTAACGCTTTCAGGCGTACTCTCCCACACTGAAACTTTCGCTCGCGTTCCCTCGTCGGCGTACTAAATAACCGCGCTCAAAATATTTTAGCACGAAAACTAAACAAGTTATCGTCAGTTAGTAGTATGATAAAAGATTCGTACACAAGATTATCGTTCTTAAATAGTGTAATTTCGAATGTGTGACAAGTTATTCTTCCATACAAAATGGGCCAATAAAAGTGTACATTGTCAACTATACAAACCAATTCTTCGTGTTTGTTACCTTTGGCAGGAGAGTTTAAACATACAATAAACATAACCGATTATTGAGTTTTCCGTTGGAACCATTCCGTTTTGTGTGAAGTGATACACGAAAATATTAGCTGAAGTTTACCTTAGTAATTTTCTTTGTGAAGGTTAAAAAACCTGTAAGTGCGCAATGTCAACTTTGGGTGCTGGAACAACGATGTTAATCGCTTTGCAAACATGCTGTAAGGCCCGAGGCGGCATCTGCCTGTGTGTCTTGCCTGTTAGCATAGTGAGCTAAGCAGGTCGCACAGATCAAGAACAAAAGAAACTATATCAAGACTACCTACACTACCTTCAAAAGTACCATAAAACGCGATGGATACAAGGTAAGCCGCCAAATTTCCCTATCTAATCATCATTGAGCGAATGCAGGGATCAAACATCAATAAAATTGTAATTAGATCATTTCATCGTCATGTTTACTTGTGACATCGCAACTCGAGATAAAACTATACAATACCTTAGGAGTATGTTCACATTTATGATTTCCAGTTACTATTCGAACACATAAAATTTTCTAGATTCAAGCGATTTTTATTTTGAAGTTAAGTACTCAGCAGTATAAATAATACGTATCTTAGGACAACACTTTTTAATAATAAGTTATTAATATAAAGTTGTTATACCTACTATAACAAAAAGATACTAGCAACTATAATATGATACGAGAGTATTTTATTTACACAAAGAATCTTACGAGGAATAGATATGGATCTGTTCAATAAAGTTTAAATAGTATCAAAAATCGGAAATGACAATAAATAATTTAACTTTAATTTAATTTTTGTACTTTGAATTTTTCCAACTTAAATATAAACGATAACTGTACATCCAACTGGATGTCGGTTTCAAAACTACGAAGAAAATTCTCGTGTGGGATGAACCACATAAATATATTTTATTTAATCATGTTGTAGGCGTATCAGTAAATCATGATCCCGTTTAATTTAATCAGGACGCTCGAGAGATTCAATTTCTCGAATACAATGCAGTTTGAAGATAGCATTTAAGAGTATCTGAAATCTATTCAGAGTGGTAATATAATTTCGTGTATCGAGGTTTCCATTTTCGCACGCCGTGTCGCCATAATTCACCCTTCGCTGCTTCGAATACCTACTTATTTTTATTTGCAAATAAGCCGTAGATTCAAATAAAGTAATTCTATATGGATCTACATTACTTACACTACATGTTAGCTCACAATGTTACATGTCTATATAGGTTTTAAATATTTGTGTTAAGTATTTACACCTATGCAAGCATATTGTTAAAGGTTATCTTTTTTAACAGTCCGTAGTTTAGTACAAATATTACTTTTTAAAAATGCACCTAACACCCTAGATGTTGTTTAGCCAAAGTTAGATTTTTTTCCACAATATATTGTTTCAAATATTTTCAGCTAAACTCATCTATTGCAGTGCTATTCTGTAAGAATATACTGACTTTTTATCCTCGGAATTCACGGTGTGGATTAAAATTGGAACCAGAATAGTAACATTTTAAAAATAACAGTATTTAAAATACAAAAAGAGAAAATACCTATATCCATTTTTTATTTAAATACTATTTAAGAAAAGCATTTTCCGTTTTATTTGAAATACTTTTAATTACATATCTTGTATTAACAAAATACTTTTTAACCGACTTCAGAAAGGAGGTTCCCAAATTCTCTATTCGGTCTATATATTTTTTTATGAATGGCGTTTCTGTTAACTTGGGCGGTGTAATTATTCCGATACATTATTTAGATATTTTTTTTGTTCGATAGGAGATACTTGTCATTCAGTCACAAAATAAATAATGAAGTTTCACCTAGCAGCTTTTATTTTATGAACACTTGTTTACTTAGACGATGTAATTTTCACGACACTTTCTGTAGGGCTTTTTTAATTAGGGGTTGAAATGAAAATTATTTTTAAACAAAAAATAAAACCCAACTTCCAAATCGAAAATTGAACTGAAAAGTACAAGATTCACATAAAATCGGGTGGGTCCTGGTATGATTTGGAAGTCGGGCTGGACCAATATTGAAATATTAATTATTACGTGTTTTAATCTCTTGACCTACCCCTGACTTACAAATCATACTAGGTTCCGCCCGTTTTTCATGTGAACCGGATATATAGGTAATTGTTTTGAGAAGTTTAGTGAACAGCAATACCAATTTAGTGCGATTTTTTTTTTCATATGACATGATACTGAAATGAACTGTTTTGTTTTCGAACCACTAAGATAAAAAAAACACTAATAAAATAAACACAGTTTAAAACCAAAGGTATTTTATTTTTATAAAGTATTTTGGAAAAAGGATTTTTGTATTTAGTATTTTAAATATAAAATTAAAATCTATTTTGTATTTGTAATTCAATAATTTTGTATTCAAATACTTTTTATGATGTATAATTTATTTATTGACGTTTCGCAGCTTTTGCAGGAATGCTTTATTCTGATGACGCATTCCTTCAAAGGCTGCGAAACGTCAATAAATAAATGAAATCAGTGCATCTAACCCGTTGAAACTTGTATAGTTTAACTTCATCTATGTCAATATGTGATGGGGGGTCCCATACAATATTCGTGATTTTTTACCGTTTTAGCTCGATATTATAATATTGTAAGTTTGTATTTTTTTCTTTCTACATTTAAAACTGCTGACAGAATGTGTCTGGAAGTATTAATTTCAAATTGTTTACAATATTCTCTACAACATACGTTGGAATCAGTCCTCAGACTATATGTAAAGTGAGTTAAATTTTTACGTGCCTTTGCTACCTGATACCTAAAAATTGAGCTGCTAGTATAATAATATGCACAGCACAAGTAAGCAATTATGTATACAATCATTGTACACTCTAAACTATTCAATTATCCAAATTTTGTCCATGACAAAATAGAAAGGTCTTGGGATCTTACTCCTTTTATAAACTCTTATTAGTCTACTGTCTTTGTTAATTTGGCTGCTTAAGCTAAGGCCACACTGTCGCGCTATCGCAAACGTGGTCCATTTTCACGACAAGTCGTATACAGTTTAGAACACGATCAGAAATGTGACTATTGCCTGGTTGTCTATTGTGTGGTCTTGAAAACGGCAAAAGTACGCGATAGTGCAATAGTGTGGCCGTAGCATTACTGTATAATTTAATAGGCACAATCATAATTTTCTTAAATTATTATTGGTTTTATTATATTTTACATATCAATAAATTACAAATGGAACGAATGAAACCACCTTTAGCGTGAGAGATTTACATTTTTCATATCAATAAATTACAAATGGAACCAATTAGAATCACCTCTATCGTGAGTAGAACCATAATTCTAAATGCCCATAGTCAAACAATACAGACAAGATTTACGATAAACATGGTGTTAGCGTAGATATTTACAGATTCTTGTATAAACTACATGTTTATTTTATAACCAAACTGTGTATCGAAGTACCCGGATACTAACGCTGCATGACTGCTAACAGTCTGCGAAACTGAATATTAGCTAACGAGTTAAAGTAATTCCTTGAGGTGGGAAACCATTTCACAATATTTTTTTGTTTTCTAGCAGCTGTCTGCTACTTCGTCCGCGTTTACTTTTATACTTTAGTTTTTTGAAATCCCACAGGAACCTAACATTTTCCGGGATGGATAGTATCCTATATCTCAATCCAGGTCATAAACTACAAATATGTTTATGTTTACGTTCAATAAATTCATTTCGAAACCACCATCGCCTCTGGCCTCGCAATATTATAAAAACTAAAAAGTGTGAAATATACTTAATTACATAAAGATAACCAAAAACCCGACTGCAAAAATATAACTGAAAACTAAAAAACAAGCCCGGATTTTCTTCTGTACCTTTCTTTTATCTTCTTACTGTTTTACTTTATATTCTTTAGCCCTTCGTAAGTAGGCACCCTCTTTTCTCCCTTCGCGACTTGTAGGGACTATTCTAATATCTATTTTGTTTATCACACCATTTTACCAACTTTACTATTCTGTGCCTTATAAAGACAAATGATAAATTTGTAAAGTATTTCATAACTATGTGAATAAATGTTACGAGAATATTGGAAAAGTATCGCAGGCGGGAACAAGCTATGGCACATTGAGCTATTTTGTAAACCACCACTCGGTTGACATATTTAGCATGTTGGTGTTTATAATGTAAGAGTAATGGAGGCCATACACGTTAGGTTTTGCATGATGGTTTTAACCGTGCATTCATAACCGTCATGCATAACCGACATTACATGCACCGAAAACTGTACAGTTTTATCAAATACACGTAAGGGCTTGCCTGTCGGTTATGCATGTTCGGCTAAAACCATCATGCAAAACCTAATGTGTATGGTCTCCATTATGAGTGCCGTCGATTGTGTCATGGCCTCGTATTAGGTTAAATTTAATTTTGTTTAAATTATTAATCAAATCATTATTTTATAAGTTTAAAAGAAGTTTGTCGATCTTTGTATTAAAATTAATTAAAACCGGAAGTTTTAAACTGCGCGAAAGAAGTATGGCCGACTGAATCATGGCGGGGCAGTGTGAGTGGACAGTGAGCATTTTTGCTGATAGCCGTTGAAGTCGTCTCTAATTATTATCTATTATAAGAACTGCTAATTTGGAATTGAATAAACAAGTTGTTGGTTTTCTAAAGGAGTTTCCTTTCAAATCAGATATGGTAAGTACATGCTCACATTGAATTTTATTTTTCTCTCACGTTTGAGGATTTGGTAGAAATCTCTCAGTCAGAAAATATTACAAAACGCTTCTTAGTCACAGTTATTTCGAACTAAGCTGTAATCAAAATCTGTCAATAGTCAAAACAATATCGTATGAAATACAGTGTTGATATGATACGCGTATGAAAAAACAAATTCAGGTATTCATGTGTTTTATTTTGGTCTGTTGTATTGGTCTGGAAGGAAAATACAAAATGTTGCTAGTTTTTCCGTGCAGATAGTTAAGTTAGGTTACCACACTTTTAACGTTTTTTCCAAAACCTCAGGGACTGGTTTGTATTATAATTGTGTAACTTATAATTTAGTTATAGTTTATAAAAGTAATACCAAATGAATTCATTGAAAATTTAGTTATCAGCAAAAACATTGAAAGAAATAACCAGTGGCTCATGTTCCTTAAGCTCGATATATATTCTCGTTAGAACAATATGTATTTTGACAACTACCCACTTATGCTTTGAGTATTAAACTCTGATTAAACTCCGTGGGAGTTTATGTAAAATTCTCATGGGAATGTAATTCTTATGAGAGATAAGGAATTCTTAAACCTCATGATTGATGAAACCTATTTCAAAGTCAAGGTTAATC